GCGTACAGGACATTACAAAACCACACACACACACACACACACACACACACTCTCTCTCTCTCTCTCTCTCTCTCTCTACATGTTGCTGTAGATAACAGGCACTGGTAAAATGACTAGGATCCAAAGTGTTGAGAGCTTTGAAATTAGAAAATGAAAAGGAGTCAAGAGGGAGCATTCCACAGCACTGCCCTGGTCACCTGATCTCTTATGAGGTCAAGGGTCAACTAATGAAACCTACCACCAGCTTGGCAGAGGCTTTAAAGAGAAACAGCGGCATGGTTTACAGAAAGAAAGCCCAACAGTTTACCTGGGGATACTTTTAGCAATTGCACAGCTGCTTTGAGATTAAACAGAATTCTGATTTGCTTGTATCTCAAGTAGGAGAAATTTTGTTTCAGTCAATTAAATGTTTTCTTTATCTCACAGGCAAATGTGGCTTTCTCTCTCAACCATCCTTTTCTCCAGCTCTCCCTCTTTTAATATCTTTTAACCCTTCTCGTTGTCCTGCATGATCGTCCTCTGCAGCTGGGGTCCGACTCGGATGACCGTGTGTGAAATCTGCAGGATGCCTCCCATGTTGGGAGATTTGTGGATGCAGGCCCTCACATGTCCCTCCCAACACCCCAATCTACCCAACACCCTCCGGAGCAAAAACAGATAGGAGGCCAAACAGAACAATGCCAAAGCAATGGCTTAATTCGCCTGGTCAGATTTACAGCCCCTCCTGCACAGCACCTGCGCTCATTGTATCCCAGGACTTGGCTTAAGAACTTTGATGAACTGGTAATAAAAACTGGACTACGGGCAATCCACTCTGTATAGATATCCCCCCCCCCAATACTCCCCCCTTTAGTTAAAGATCGCTTTTTATGTTTGGGAAATCTCTTGTTTGGGACTTAGATGAAGAAGTCAAGTGAGGAAAAGCTGACATCATGAATGCCCTTCATGCCACTTGGTTTATGGCCATGCTGCTGACTATTGTAGCGAATGCTCTAGAGGACAAATGCTGAGCAGTAGAGCTTACCCTGCAAACATCTCTATGTACGTCTGCAGAACCTCAAATGCCGCAAATGTTTACATAGCACATAAGCCTACTCAATTGCACAACATTCTTTGCATCAGCCATTACAATAATAACTAGCCAGCAAGTGTAAAGGCAATCCCCGAGCGAGTGCTGGTTTGCAGAAGGCACATTCCTCTGCTGCTTGCTGGGCTGGCAGAAAAGTGAGAGGCTCTGCAGAGGAAAGGGGGGACTGCGAAAGAGAATTCCCAGAGAGGTTTGAGGAGGACGCGACTTGAGAGCAGAGCCCCCTTTTGTCATGGGACCTTGTTGGTGCCTCAGGGGCCATATGGACGCCTGTCGCTGTGCACCCTCACATCAGCCCATTCTTCACCGTCCTCCACCCCCTTCGCTCCGTGACAGGACCGTCCATGTGAATGAGTCATGGCCAGGGTGAAGTCGACCCCGGTTCACTTCTGCTAAGGAGAATCGTGTCTGTTTTTCATCTTTCTCTCCTCTTTAACAGTCTCCTTCCCCCTCTCCCCCCTGAATTCAACCATTCGTGCTTGTGTTGTTCATTGATTCTCTCAACCCTCGCACTCTCTCTTTCCTTTTGAGGCATCTCGAACACAGTGTGAAAACTTGGCAATAGACAGCTGCCCCTATAGCCCCCTCCTTCTCCGTCCCTCCGGCCTCTTTTCTGGCAGAACACCGGCTGTCAATTTGGGACTATAGGTTTGCGGCGCTGCCCTGACCTGTGGTGGACCCAGCGCTCTGAGGCGTCCTTATTTTATCCCCATGAAGGAGTGAAACTAATGGAGTCCAGAAAGCTGAGAGGTACTCCTTGCAAGATACTGCAAAGGAAACGACATTCTCATAAATGTTGTGAACAATGGGGGAGGATTCGACGTTTAATTTAGCTTTTCTTGTGATTTCCATAGCCCTTGACCATTTTGGAATCAAACACAACTGGCAAAAGTTTCATAACCTAATACAAATTCATTGTAAAATTATTTTAACTGCTTATTTCCAATGCTTTTAACTAGGATTTGCCTTCCATCGTGTGTCTTTTTTTAACATTAAATTTCTTATACGAGATTCCTCAAGCTTTATCACTTTTAGTAAAAGACTATGTAAAAAGCTGAGTTAGCATCTGGTTAAAAGTAAAGTAAAGTCAGTGCCATCTTCTTCATCACTGCGTTCTGTCTTAATGACAAGCAGGGGGCGAGTCCTCTTGTTGCAGTAAATTGCACAGATATTTATGGGGAAAATCCCTTTACTGAGTCTTTGAACTCAGTAAACGCTTTTTTGATCAGTTTTTGGCCTTAGTTGCTATCTTTAAATGACTGAGTTGTGTTATGCTAAATATAACTTTATTCTTTAAGTCATGGTCCACATGTATTTATTGCACACGGAGAAAAATCTGAATATCAGACTTTTTTTTCCAGCATTTCAGAAACACCATGTATCCATATACATGGCACAGAGCACAGAGAACACAGTTTGTTTGTCGTTAGTCAAGTCGAATGGGCGGCCCTGTTTGTATGACAGATATTCAAGTATTCCACAGTCCCATTTGACTTTTGAACAGTTTGGTATACAGAGGAGTTCATGGTTGACTTAAAGACTGTAAACAAGTGTAAATCATAACACATCCATCACCGTGCTTGGTTGGTATGACGTGTTCACGCTGATATACTGTGTTTGGTTTTCTCCAGACATGGTGCTGTGCATTATGGCTAGAACTCTCCATTTTGGTCTCATCTGTCCAAAGGACATTGTTCCAGAAGTTTTGTACTTGCTGATAATCAGTTAATTAAGTGCCGTGTTATTAGCAGCACCTGGCTGACTTACCCTCTTAGATCCTATGGAAGCAGTAAGTGTGGACTTAATTTCTCACAAGTGTGCAGAATCCCAAGAAAACGTTCTTTTTTACGTGACAGTATATCCAACTTTCCCTCACTCACTTTGATCTAGAATCTCACGTTGTTACATGGTGAAGCACTTTTTAACGATTGCTGCAACAAAGACTAAAGTCGGTTGGGTTACAGATTACACTCATCACAATCCGAGTTCTGACACAATTCTAAGATGAAGTGAATTTAAAAAACAAACAAACTTTAAGATATTATAATGCATCACTGTGGCTCATCCATCCATCCATCCTTCCATCCATCCATTCGCTTCCGCTTATCCTTTTCAGGGTCGCGGGGGGCGCTGGAGCCTATCCCAGCTGTCATATGGCGAGAGGCAGGGTACACCCTGGACAGGTCGCCAGTCTGTCGCAGGGCTAACACACAGGGACAGACAACCATTCGCAGTCACATTCATTCACGCCTAGTGACAATTTGGATTATCCAATTAACCTATCCCCACAAGCTGCATGTCTTTGGACGGTGAGAGGAAGCCGGAGTACCCAGAGGGAACCCGCACAAACACGGGGAGAACATGCAAACTCCACACAGAAAGACCCCGGCCTGATGTTGGAATTGAACTCAGGACCTTCTTGCTGTGCGGCAACAGTGCTAACCACCGTGCCTCATTTCAGTATTATGTTTTTGAGTCATGGCTGAATGAAGCTGTGAGGACTACAGTCTAAAGGATTTACAGTCTACAGTCTTGGATTTATTAAAGATATATTTAATTTGATTTAATCTATTTGATCTATTCCCCATATGGAAATGTTCCAAAGTTACTTATGAAAGGGAAACCAGCTGTTTCCATTTTGCAAACTTATACTGTAATGTTTGGTTTCCATGTGTGCTACATTTCAGTAGCCTACTTTCTAAAATAATACACAGTTAGTAAAATCTTCTAATTCTGGTAAAAGTGTGTTACTTAAAATATTGAACACATTCCAATTTTTAGCTGTAGAGGTGCTGCACAGTAACACACCACACTCGTGGTTCTGGTTACAACGTTTTAAGGCCATAGGTGCAGTTTCCTGCGCTCTTAAAACAGCCTTGGAAGTTCTTGGACAGCCGTTAACTAGCACATAACTACATGGCCTTTTGTGCACAAAAAACAAACTGACAAATGATTAGAATCTTTTCACTGGAAACAATGGATTCATTCAGCGGGACCATTAGGGAGACTGCTTCAGACATAATGCTAACATCTGGCCACTGTTTAGATCAAGACGTTATTGCTGCATTAGCTGATTACTTGTGCAATGAGGGCAAGCTATACACACATGATTAGCATACCATGATCTTATTACATTGTTAGCCATCCAATCCACTTGTCGGTAGACCAGTGTTATCATTTAATTGGAGTTATGACTCTCACCATCTGGCCAGATTATTTGGAAAATATGCTCTCCGCATATTCTTTAGGTAAATATTTATTGTTCCAGCTAGTTTCAGCTTACTGCTGTTTGGTGCTGTGCAGGCTGTGTACATGTATTCATAGATCAGCAAGAGTGCATCCTTTCATTTTACTCCTTTTATGCTGCCCTACTAAAATGTAGTCGGCCTTATAGCCACCAGTTCCAACTGGTTCACAGCCGTGTGAATTACTGACTTAGTAAAGACCCAGAGACACAATATTAAGCCATAATGATCACTTACAAGCAGGATTACTGACAAACAGCTTTTGCGATAGTGACCACAGTCATTGGCTTTTTATTCAAAATTGTCCACAAAACACCAGATTCTAAATTCATTTCTTACGGCACTTACTGAAATTAAACAGCCATATAATGACTTTCTGTCAAGGTCAGGTCACTTTTGTATCCTTAGGGAGTGGTGGTAAGGAGGGCACTAATGGATGGCATTACCCAGTAACTCGATCTTAGATGAATGGATGAAAATAATCTGTTGACCCTGAAGTCTGAACCCAAGGACAATGTGAATGTATACTGTAAAATCGATGTAAGTTACAAGAAATACTGCAAAAATAGGCACAAACATACGAACACTGGCAATGTGTTGAACAGTTTGAACAGGTTTCCATATTGTAAAATGTTTTCTTATTTACATTAAACTTATACAAATCAATAAATAAATGTAAGAAAAAAAGCTTTTAATTTATGTGCATGTGTGTGTGAAGGGGTGTGATATTAGGTATCCTAGGCTTTTGGAGCATGTGGCTACAGGCCCGTATGCTCGAGGATGCTTTCCTCCAGTTTCAGGTAATCACTGTACTCCTTCAAGTCCGCCTCCTCGCTGTCTACCTGGAATGTGACTGGCTTGTCAGGCTCCTGCAGACAAAGCCAGAGAAAAAAGCTTCATCATAAACAATAATTACGAAACAATAGAGCACCTAATCCAAGATCTCAGCGTTTCCCATCGTAGAGGCAGAAAATTACATTGCCTCTGAATTTTACTGAACTGAAATTTTATTGAAGGATGCAAATATTAAATAAGATGACACTTTTCTAGCAAAATCTGGACTGTGCCCTGCATCTGTGTATTGCATGCAGGGCACAGTCCTTTAAAGAAAAAAAAAGGACAATTAGGATACTGTTTGGCAAATTCCTGATACTTTCCTCCCACAACAGTAAACCTGACAGTATTGTTCATATCATATTTAAGCTGTGCCTTGTCCTTATCATCCATCTAAATTCAAATTGCCGTAGATGTTTTAAAGCCAACAGCAGAAAGAAGCTGGAGGTGAACATGAAAATTCATTCCTGTTTAGAGGAATTAAGAGAAAGTATCCACTCCAAGTGACATTACTACAGCAAAACAAAACTTTTTTGGTAGCTGCCATGCAGCCTAAGATGGAACCAGTTAGCCACTTAAGTTTGCTTCTATACTTAGCAGGCAGACTGTCAGGCACTGCCTGTCAATAACTACCCTATCCCCAGTGCTTGGGATCAAATAACGATGTGAATGAATTAAACATGAGCGGATAGAAAATGAGAGAGACACAAAAAGAGATACACGAGTGCCTTCTTCATCTCTTCCAATGTCAACTTTATACGTCCACATATTTAGCTGGGTCAGTACTAAAACTTTTGTAAGTCTGCTGAAGATTCTGATCACCAATGCAGGGAAGTTTTGTGGGAAGTCAAGGTTTAACTCAAGGACACTTTCACTGTAGACAAATGGCAAAGGACACAGGGAAAGAAAAGCTTTAGTGTTCTCCTATCCTTTCTCGTCCTTCATTTTCATTTCAAATCTAACCATTCGTTGTGCGTCACTATGGTCTGAACTGTCAGATCTAGGAAATTACAAACACTGGACACAGGACATCTTTCCTCCCTCTCAGCTGCTGTTGAGCCACCTTCCAGTCACACTGATGGAAACTGGCACCTTGAGACTTCTGGGAATTCAGTTTAGAATTAAAACCTACTGCTCACCACTTGTTTCTTGGACTCGCCTTCCTCCTTTCTCGGTTTCGCCCACAGTTCTTCCCACTCCAAATAATCCTTCAGCCTGTCATTCTCTTGGTCAAAGAAGATCTGCATGTTTAAATCCTGCATACAAACAAAGCAAAACAAGACAAAGATACTAGTTAGCAGTCAATAATACTGTAGCAGCCATTAAATACCTTTAAGAAAAATAACACATTTTTACCGCAGTTTCTTAACATTACACAAGGGTCCAAGCAAAACAGACAGCTCACAGTCTTCTTACCTCATTCTTAACCGGGGAGCGGAGGGCCTTTGGCACATTGAAAACACGTAGCACTCCAAGGTTGTCAGCAACAGCCAGGTAGTGTTGTTTGGCTGTAAGTACAAAACAGTCCATTAAATGAGTTTTAAGGTTCAAAAATCGTATCTGTCCTGAGCACCTAATATAAGCCAAGAACTCACAGGCGGTGATACAGGGTTTGATGCAGGTAATTCTGGTACTGGCGACGTGTTCATGGACGTGTGTAGGTTCGCTGGTGTTTAGGAGCAGGTTCCACACCTCAATACTGCCATCATTTCTCCCAATGAAGAAAACCGCAGATCGGGAGAGGGACCAGCATGCCGCACTGTACTCTTGCTCAGAGCTTGGTCCCACGAAGATTGGGCCACCCTGGATGTTGTGGTTTACAAGAAGTATTTAAAAAATTTTGTGCGTTCTGAAGCATTTTAATTATTGAATTATGTGCTCCAATTTTGTCGTTACTTAGGACGAATTAGTCTGTGCATGGTTCCCATTTGGACGTGCTTCAAAAACCAAAATTGACAGTGTTTATCCAAAAACCAAACAAACAAAAAAACCCGACTGCTAATGCTGAGGCTCCACAAACCATACATGGCTGCTACATCCATTTTTTATGTACAGTCTATGTCTGTGACCAACTGAATAAGTGTGAATAGTTTTGCTTAGTTTTGCAGTTTAAATGATCAAAACAGCAACCAAGAAATTACCTCATTTGAATTGTCTCAATTCTATGTGATGTATGCATACGTCATGTGAGGTAATCAATGTTTTCTGTTGCAGTACCATCACACCCTCTTTCCAGATGGCAAAGTTCCAGCCTCCTGTTGTCAAAAGAATGTCTTTGAAAAAGGGTGATCGCTGCATTGTGTTCACAAACCAGGCATGAGTTCTAAAACAGAGCAGGGGCTTGGCACCTGGGAGTGAAGTGAGACAGATGGAGAATATGCACAGTTTTATTTGACAGTAATTTCCTTCCAGGGTAATCATAATGCAAAGGAGCAATTAACCCAGTAAAACATTATGGTCATTACATTTGCCCAGGTTACCAAACTAAATAGTGGATTTAATGTGAAAGTAGCAATCAAAGTCATTTCAATAAATTGGGTGTAATTGTTTTATGAATCAACGTACTGCTGTCAGTCTGACAGCTGAGCACTGGTGAGCCATAAAAAACAGAGCGCGGCAAGCCCGACTACTCACTGAACTTTCGTCCAAACTCATCTTCCTCCAGTTTCCAGTCAGTGTAGACAATCTCTCCTTCCTGTAAAAAATGAACATAAAACTGTTTATAAATGTATGTATGCGTCTTCCTTATTTCAGTTAAGTTGCAAAGTATAGTACACTCCTTAAGTGGCATGACAAAAACATGTGCAAAAACCTAATAAAAAATCATTCATTATTGGTTATGCCAACTTGAGATGAACTTCAATGTAACAAAAAGAAGTCCAGCTTGCTCACAAGCTGAGTAAAGTCAAGAGTTAAGTTAAAAGTTAAGCAGTCAAGAACTTAACTGTATTTTTTACTTGCTCTATGTTGATATCATTTGAAGACATTTTCAAGTTTCAAGTTTTATTGTCATGTACAGATAAACAATGTAGCCACATTTAACCATAATGAAATGTTTTGGCTCGTGCTCCTCTGCCTTACATGAGCATATAGAGAGTGTACAGTTTATTTAGAAGAAAATAACAGAATTTTTACCTCTGTTCCAACATAAAACTTGGTATTGACATCGTCCAGGGTCTTGAGCGTCTTGGCTGAGGGTATTCTGAGTTGACCGTATTCTGGGAGGACCTCTGCGCCATCATTTTCATTATCTTGTTATGTAAGACAAAACAGGAAGAGACGGTAAAGTAAGAACAGGTTAAAAGTTCAACTCATTGTTTTTTATTTATTTATTTAACATTTCAGTGACCTGAAAGAGGGAGCCTGGTGCTGACGTGGGACTAAAATGTTCACAATACTCAGCGCCTTGTTACTAGACAAGTACAAATATTTCAATAAACTCAAATAGGGGAAGAAAAATAGGTGAAAACTAGCAGATTTTAGGAAAAAGAACATCTGCTTTATTCAAATGAAGGAAATAACAGCCTGAACCGCGGCAGTCGTGCTGTAATTTGACCGTGAACAAGACGACAGAAGTACTAAAGCAAGTGAGGTGGGGAGGGGGTACAGCCGAAGTGAAAGGACTGGTAAGAGTGGATTTGAAGGGAGAGAGAAAGAAAAGCACAAGAGGTAGAGGTAGGAGGGAAGCCTGTGGAGAAAACAGGGACAGGAGGTAAAAGGTGGAGGGGCTGAAATAGGTTAAGCTGGTAGAAGCCTTTTCCATCACAAAAGCCTGACTGTCTGCCAGAGATCATGTGGGTCTATCTGTTCACAGCCCCTTACCTGTGGACCGCTCTCGATCAACTCTCACTCTTAAAGGTTAGATCAGATTACCAAACCACATGTCTTCTAAATCTATTTTCTCCCAGTTAAGATGTGTGTAAAGATATGCGAAAGATGATACAGGAACAGCTACAGACAGTGTTTGACTTTGCTTAATCCCCATGAGGGCCTGCTCACAATTTATTTCAGTGTGAAAAATCATGTTAACAAGTATATTGTAGCTTTTTAAATGTTCAGAAAAATGTCAAAAGGCACAGAAGCAGACAGCAAAGACCACCCTCAATCAATGTGAGTCAGATATCTTAGGTAACGCTGCAGTATTAATCACACAGGGATTCATTAAAATCGTAATAACAGACTCCCTGAGGGCTGATGAAAAAAGAAGCAGATTTATTGCTTGAGTTAGTAAGCATATTAATTCTATAACAACCAGCCACCAAGGCTGTGTTTATGGAAGCCAGACAAAGACATGTCTCTTCTTGACCAGCCAGGACACACATGATCATCTTCTGGCCCTCAAGGAGTCTGAGCAGCATATTGCAAAGAGCTGACAGTCAGCAAAGCCAATGGTCTGCAACTATGGCGGCCTTGTTTTGGAAGTATCGCTTAATAAAGTGCCATGAAACCTGAGGAGAGACAAGACAGAGAGAGAAATAGAGGAGCTCAGGGCCAAATGAGCCCTGCCCCACTGATCACTGTGCTCAGCCATCCAAAAGAGAACTCAAGAATCCAAAACTCCCTCAAAGAGGTCAGGAGACATGTCTGTGATGCTCACTGTTTGCCCTCCTCACTTACTTCAGTTTTTAACACATTCTGTGCCATTCAGATATTATAAGAATTGTTCAGGCACATAAAAGAATAATTGCTCTTTACCTTTGATATTTTGAAGACACAGTGAGTGTATCTTTCTATAGTTTGCGCTTGAGCTTTGCTTCAATACTTTCCTCATCAAAACTGTTATATGGACAACAATGAAAATGAGACTATCAGCTACAATGGGGAAATCATTTCTCTAATTGTTATGGTCGTTTAATTTTAATGGAGGGCACACTGAATATAAACCAAAAATCCAGAAAACACTTTATATAGAAGTTATAAATTGATTTTGAAAGAAGAATTTGATCCATGACCAAAGAGCCGTCCATGACCCGTCTTTAGTGTTCTGACTGAGGAGAGGATGTTTGTGTCCAAGATTTTACGTTACGTTACATTGGTCCCTCAGTGCAATGAGTTTGCCCTGAACCATTAGCAGAAAAACAGTCCTAAAGCATGTTTACATCTCCGTGCTTGACTGTGGGGATGATGCTCTTAGTGCCATATGCAGCATTTCTCTTCCTTCAAACACAAACACAATAACTTGACCACAGTACTTTCTCCCATTTACATCCTCATTGGCAAATTTGACATGGGCCTGTAAATGTTCCTTCTTGAGCAGGGGACTTTGCGAGACCCGGAAGATTTCTGTCCATTGTCCAAACCGTTACCAATGGTGCTCTTGGTGTCTGTGGTTCCAACTCCAGCCTCAACAGGTCTGCAGTCCTGCCCCTGACATCCATGGAGAGCTATTTGGTCTTACTTATGGTGGTGGAGAGGTTGGAATGGGACAAACATATTCAGGAGTATCTGTAACTGACTGATTGACTGTATGAATCATACTTGTTATTAATCTCTGGCTCTCTTCCACAGGATGTCTTTTATCCTGTCTTCCCTCTCTCACCCCAACCGCTCAAGGCAGATGGCCCCGCCCCTCCCTGAGCCTGGTTCTGCTGGAGGTTTCTTCTTGTAATAAGGGAGTTTTTCCTTCCCACTGTTGCCAAAGTGCTTGCTCATAGGGGGTCATATGATTGATGGGTTTTTCTATGTATTATTGTAGGGTCTACCTTACAATATAAAGCACCTTGTTGTTGTGATTTGGCGCTGCATAAATAAAATTGAATTGAATTAATCTGTCTGCTGCATGCAGACATGCAAATCAATTTATAATGTTTATGTATTTTTTTTCTAGATTTTTGGTTGATTTTCTGTTTCTCTCCATTAAATTGAAGCTTCCATGAATATTAGAGACTGTTCTTTTTTTCCAATAAGCAACAAATTCAGCAGGGGATCAAACAACATCTCTTATGGACAATCGGTTTGATTTGAAAGAGCATGTGAGTGAGTCAACTTCCTAAAACGTTTGGCATCAAACAAAAAAACCACAAAGTATTTTGTGTAATTAAGCAATGTGACTGATTGCAGGAAAACAGAGAACGAGTATAGCAGACTGAAACAGACAAAGCCTTGCAGCCTCGAGGGTAAAAGCTCTTGCTCACCTGTGTTCCTACCTGTATTACTATTACAGGTGTAATGTTCTAGGCTGAACTTCAAAGGAGCATACTCTCCACTTGTATCAATCTTTGGCAGGGAAACCTGACACATGGCATAAAAGAAGATGGCTTTTATCACTTGAAGAAAAAAAGAAAACCTTATCTAAAACAAAATCACAGAGCATGCTCAAGAATCTACACACTGAAGTCATTACCTAAACCCCAGTTAAATAAATCCAATGCACACGTAAATACAAATTAAATAGTTATTCAATTTAAGCCATTTTCCTTATTTTCTTGTAACAAATCTTTGTCTGCAGGATAATTACTGATGTGTAAAAATAACACTAAACATCGAATCATTCTTTTTCTTATGGTTGATTTTCTTATGGTTGGAAGTTGAAGAAAAAAGCTCTTTCTACACAAATCACAATCTCTGTAATGCATCCCAGACATGAAAGTACCCTGAAGAGTGGTTTCCATGTCCGGTCCAGGTGTTTGAAAGTTGTGGGGATGCTATAGGGTGTCATCATGGTCTTCTGATCCACATCTTGCTTCCTGTCGGCCAGAAACTGGTTCTGTAGTTTTGGCACTCGCAGATCCCAAAACATTACACTGCTTTAGACAGAGACACAATAAGATAATGTGGAATTAAGAACCACCTGAAAATTAACAAAATTCTCTATCATCAAATGTTCATATTCAAACATGATTGTTGCATATATAAATGTGGTTATTGACAAAAACAACAGGAGCAGTGTTTTGAAATCTTTCTGTCATTTGCAACTCCTTTAGCGCCAGTCTAATGACGCAGAGTGTGAAACACAGTCTGTATTCACATTGATACTTCATATCTAAACTGAATAACAGGACATGCAAAATGAAGTAACACATAAAAACACTAGTGAGAATTAGACTGCATAGCTATTTCCTGAGAAACATAATGATTGCCAGATACACTCATTTACGTGGTTTACAAAAGGCAATATTTTAACCAACTGCACAGCTCTTCAATATATTATTGGCTCAGTATGTTCAACCAGAGGAGAATGACTACAGATTACACCATAGAATTAAGATGAAACCGGAAAAATAATCCAGCGTGTTTGAGTGCCATAATATACTGTATATTCACCAATAGAAAGCTTTACAACTTTACAGTATTAAAAAGCATCTTTACAGTCTACTCTACAAGAAAAAAAAAACTCTATATAAATACCTTTCATCTTTATGAGGAATTTATAGGTGATTTTTTCACACATATACATTTTATGTTTTAAACTTAGCTAGTAGCTGTTATGTCTTGTTAATCCAAGTCACTGATCTGAACAAAATTGTAGTGTTTTATTATTCAATTGATATGTGACTTGGCACTAATAGCCAGACAATTTTGTCTGCCAACTACAGACAGTAAAACCAAAACCATACTCGAAGCTAGGTATGTAGCTTGCTAACTTTCTAGCATTAGCCTGAAGTTAGAATTCCATCTTCTCTAAGAGATCTGGTACTGCTTGAATTTTTCTGTATCTTGCAACTGTGTTTCTACTCTTTTTACAATTCAGCAATAAATACTTCTACTTCTTATATTCTTTGTATTTGCTTTCTTTTGTGTTTAATTTCCAGCGTTAGTTATAAGTCAGTTTGATTTGGAATTACACAAAATATATACACCAAGGAACTTAAATTATGATGTATTTATTTAGCTCATGTTACGGCATAAGTAGTATAGTATTCCCATTTGGGTTGTTTTGCTTATTATCTAAATTTGTCGAGGTCTTGCTGTAATTTCATAATAATATTTTATGTATCCTTTTTTCTATGCACATGTAGAGGTGTGGCAAAGTCAAGTCAGTTATGATGAGGGAAAATGACTAAAACCCATTTTCTAAACGCTGTTCACTTCCAAAGGTTTTCTTTCTTTTCTTTTTTTCCCTGTATTTGACCTTCATTAGAATGTCAACAATCCAGAGAGACTCAAAACAAGGGCAGCGAGAGAGAAAGGGGACGTGATAAAGCAAACAGTGGATCTAGTGAGTGTATAATGTATCCATCAGGTAACCAGAGGCCTTTGTTTGCCTACTTTGCAAATAACTGTATGTATTAAAAAACACACACATGTTATCAGCCACTAAAATCACACTTAGAATCAACATCCAAAGTACATACTGACAAGCAGTGAAAAGTAAGAAGAAAAAGTATCAGGAGTTATTTTTTTCATTAAACTGTAGAGAACTTACCAGTCAGGGGAGCAGGTGACAACTTGAACAGACATGTTAGAAATGTTTTGAACTGGAACGCCTGTCCTGGTCACCTAAACAGAGGGAGTTACAAAATCAATAAATGTCTGCATCAGGCTTGGTCTTGTAAAGAATGAACATGGTTCATGAAGCTGTATGGGTGGTTGGATTTTCCCCTGGGGGCACTTTGATGATTGCCTTATTTTACTTATAACTGAAAGTGATCGATGTGATTTACTGCAAGTAACTACATAGAGGTAAGTGATAGGCACAAGTGGGAAACCAAATCTGGACATATATGCTAGTAATTTTCTGTGCACACTTGATATTGGATTTCTTTGTAAAAGACAAAATACCATAGTCTTACTGCAGAAAATATATCTTTAGATAAATATAAGTTTAGATTTGATTTCTTTTGACATTGTGATTGTGGGGTTTGTTTTCCTCTGAACATATATTCTACATTGCTCCTTTTCTGTGCTCGCACCCTCATTTGTAACATTTGCTTTGCTTGCTATCTACTTCCCACTAATACCCTACATCCTCTTAGTCCTGTTTATAGTGAATTGGCCATTAACCTGTCACCATTCCAAAACAAGACAGAGAAATCAGTATGCCAGTATGAGACCTGACCTTGAAGTGTGTGTTTTGTTACCATTTTGAGATTGGGGGTTTTAGTATGTTGAATTACGACACAGTGTTTGTATTAGATATAATTTAGGGAGGCTGAGATCTAAAGATTGCTTTTCTGAGACTATTGCTGTGTAGTCACACAAAAACACCTTTTATCCACACGCTAAACAGCAGTAACCTTGTGGAAGGGCTCAGAGTAGGCTCATGTGCGCCTGGTGGAAAAAGTAATTCCCAACAGTTGTTAATTCCCTCCAACCCCTTTGCCCTTCAGTCCCTCAGTACCTCAAATGTTTTCGGCAGCCACTGGACATCAGTAACTGGGGATTTGTGGCTGCTTTCTATGGAAGAAACTGCACAGTAGCTCATGACAGGAGTCTTGTTCTCTTTTTTGTTACCCAAGTCCTGTAGGGAAAGCAGACACGCGACAGTAATGTGCTGTATGGTGAGCTCTGACAATTCAGTCTACACACAAATTCAATCTAGACACAAAGACTGTACACAGCTGAATAACCACTGTAAAACGCACAAGCAGAATAATGAAATGCAAATGACGACTTCGATGTGTGCATGGAAAAACAAACAGCACACAGATAAATACACTCAAACACATTCTGGCACAATAGAGCCACTTAAAAAACATAAAATCGCTGCAATATGATTATTTAATTTGTTTAAAACACCTCCTCATAGTATTGCAAGCAAATTTTAAACATATATCTTAGTCGTTTTGTGGACCTGCAATTGGATTTATTATGTGCAATGGAGCGAATAAAAAAAAAAGTAGATAGAGAAGATGTTAATTTAAAATGTAATTCTTCATTTATCTGACAACCCAGTGACAGGTGGTGGTGTAGCACAGCTTTCACATCACCTAACAGAGCGTTCTAGTAGATACAACTGCCACTGTTTACACTGCAAACAGCAGGAAGGGCAGTGATCTGATTTCACTGTGTGTTATCTTCTATGTGGGGGCAAGAAACAAGAGTTATGTAACAGCTGGCGTATGTGAGCCGGTGCTGTTGACTCTGGTGAATAAAGGGCTAACAATGACAAAGAGAACAGAAGGAGGCACAGAGGGTGGGAGAGGGGAAGGCAAAGAGAAGGAAGCAGTAAGGAGAAGGATGGAGACAGCTGCTCCACTGTAGTGGCAATAAAAACACCCAAGGTAAATCTGGGCCAGAGATGATAGGACACGAGTGTCTACTTAAATACAGCTGGAAGATATCAGTGCAGGTTAGGCTTTAAGCGGAAGCTTTAAGAAACTGTAAAACAAAACATTTTAAAACTATAAAAGCTACACTTGAAATGAGCTAAAACAAAACAAAGTCAAAACTTACATATCATTTAATTGTTGCATGATTCAATGTGCATAAAGTTAAAAGATTAAAATTAGTAAAACAATTTTTAAAAAAGAGACTTTTTCATTTGATTCAAAATTCATTTCAAATTTATATGTTGGATTATGCAGAAAAAATATTATTGGGCAGAAAGGTCTATTGCTTTATTATGTGTTCAGGTTGTGTATCATGTTATTCAAAAATAACTAATTACTTTTTTCAAGTAACTTGACTAACATTGTACAGAACAGCATGTCTCACTGCATCAGCACTGTGACTATTTCAAAGAGAGTATGGGTACTTACAAATGTGTCCGTGTCAGAGTCGGAGTCTGAGGCTTTTTTACTGTTAGGCCGTGTTCCCTGTAAGTGCGGGATGTGAAAAGAAATGTCCCACAACACCACCTGAGACATCAGCAACATAAAATCGTTTAGTGGTGATGATCATTTGAGCCTGAGACTATAGATAATAATATACAAATATATATATTAGAAAAAAAACCCCTCAAACATATCATATTAAATGCTGACAGAAGAGTGGCAACAGCATGCAATACCATGTTTATATTGAACTAAAATGGGGGCATGGGATGAGAAACTGATTATTTTGATTTGTGAAGTTGAGACGCTGAGTGAAAAAGGAGCACCTTGCCATTCCTGCAGCCACCAACAATAACATTTGGATTCGAAGGGCAGAACTCGAAGGCAAAAATGTCATCTGGGCACTCCAAGAGCAACTATATATATATAAAAAAAATCAAAACACATAAAAATGAGCATACGCATATTTCCAAGCAGAGGTTTCCATGTATAAGGAGCTTCCCAACGCAAAAATGTATTTATTCTAGTCTCTCATATGCCTACACTAGACATAAGGGGAAAAAGACAGTATGCAGTACATTTTTTTGCTTTATTCCCTTTTGTAGAAAATATTAATTATTTATGTTATTTATATGTCTTGTCAAAGTGCCACTGGTCCCAGAGGCTGAAACCAAATCATGACACATGCACCATTGAAGGCACACATGGAACTCATATTACTTTTGAGCGATTTAGCAGCTTGGTTATATTGATTGAGTGCTTGGCTCAAATCAATAGATCTTTTCAAATTTACAGCAGAAGATAAATTACAGTAAAGGGCAAAGACTTAGAGCTAACTCTCAAACACATACATTTAAAAAAATGTTTTCTCGACTCCCATTAATGTGTTTCTCTCCTCTACTTCTCATACCCGGGGGTTAGATTGATCGGGGAAGCCATAGAAGACAATGAAAGCAGGACTGTTGATGTACACAGTGGACTTATCCAGCTGCTCCTCCTGTTTCTTTATAAAAGTCACAGCTATCAGACCTGCCACATAGACAAAAAAACACCACACCCCACAATGTATCAGCTACATAGCAACAGGAAAACAGACCTGTGTTTACAAAGCCTTTTTTGAAAAATCTGTAGATCTACTCTAATTTCTACTTTACATAGAAGCCACAAATTGATAATGCATGTGCACTGATCACACTGATATTCTTTTTCTGGTTTTGTGGACGTCGATGTGTGTCTTAAGGTGACGCGTTGATATTACAGATATTACAGAGCTTGTCAGTGAAGTTGAAATAACAGGAAAAGGGAGTTCAATTTCTTTTAGGCAGGCTATTGTATATTTGTACATATTTATATCATTGCCCACTAAGTGTATACTTTCTCGCCACAAACTGCTATTGCTGAAAAAACAAGAATTGGGCAAACTCCTGCCTGCCCAGGTCTGTGCAGGAGGTCAATAGTGACCTAATTTTTCCAACTAAAAAGTGAAAGAAAATGAATTATGATGATTTTAATGTGACCTGTCAGGGTTCTAACGATTATTTTGCAATGTTAATGAATGTCCAAAGTTTCTATGGTACACAAATCTTGACTTTATCATAAATGTACTCTATGCTAAGTCTGTAGAAGTCTATGTACTTCACCATGGATTGTAGGGTGCCAGCTGACGCTGCTGATTTTCTTGCCCATGGCGCGCTTCTCGTCTGTGAAGGTCCATTGAAGCTTCAGACCTTCAGAAACCATCACTAACTGGTCAGAAGCTTCTGCTCCTATGCCCAAGGCCTTAAAGTCATCAGTGAACACATTCATTATGTGTGCCTGCTGAAGGGCATGCAAGACCCTGCAAAGTGAAAATGTACCTGTTGAGATTTGGACCGGTACTTTTTATGTATCATTGCTCACAGACAGCGGAGCAAACAGACAAACAAACAAACGCTGCTGGAAACATTTTTTCTCTCGCCTCGGCAGAGGAATAAAGTACACACAATTGTCTTAATACACCATCATCGTATTTCCACTGAATATTCCTGCATTCATAATACTGGATGGGATTGAGTTATCTATGGCTGATATTTTGAGCATGGGTTGTTAAGAAGCAGATGGAAACGACGATACCATAAGAATTCATTTTACCTGGGGGTCACTGAGTTGACAAACTTCTTCAGTTTCTCAGACCTGAGGATGTTTTCTTTTTCTTTCTCTCTTAGCTCTCTTGGTTCATACTGGGTAAGCACATTCCTCTGAACCGCCCTGTAAAATAGACAGAAGGCAACACATACAATAAAACATGGAACTTGCCTTACTTTTAAAACAATATGTTATGAAATGTGTTGCAGACTCACTGAAAGCATATATAATTTATATATATATGTATGTAGACAAAGCAGAAAATATTTCTGAAATTGATTTCATCTTACTTCCTTGATTTGAAACAGATGCAGTCTTATTATCGGGCTAGTCAAACCTGCACGTGCTTTCCCTCCCTACAGAACAAATCCATTTTAAGTGTACTGATTTGCTGGCCTACCGCTCCGTCTGAGCAGTGCTGCTCTGCAGTTTGGGAACAGCCTGCATCCCGCAGTCCCTCTGCATCTGCTTGATGCTGAATCTGCTGTCTTGGTAGGAAGGACACGCCACGGAGCGACACTCAGCCTCTGTACTGTTGCGGTCAGAAAAACAGACAGGTAACCCCGGTCTGCGCTTTAAGTCAAACTTGTAGCACAGCTGATGATGGCAGAAGAGACAGAACAGAATTCATGAGCAAAGCAATCAGATCAGATATAAATATTTAATGTTAATTTGAATATACTGCAGTGCCTTTTCTCTGGTCTCTTTGACAGACTCTTGATCTACTTCCAGCTCACTGCCGAGAGATATCCATGGCTTTGGTTCTGGGGTTTTACTGACATCATCCTCCAACTCTATTATTTCAGGTTGTGGGGGCTGCAGAACCTAAATACAATTGTAAGAATATATAATATAAAAAAACCCACACACTAGCAATCTTTACATGTATTCATACTTACAGCAAAATGCTTATGCTAGGGAAAGATAATAAAGTAGTACTTAAAGTCTTAAATTTTACGGAAAAATAGCCTGGAAAGCGAAACACCCCGGATGATATATGACCTGTCACTATTACTAATAACTGGTGCCACAAAAGCACTAGAAACAATTAACGACCTTTAAATTAAATAATATAAAACTTCTGTTATGTTACTGCTTATCAGTATACATTTTTTAATTATTGGCCTGGTCTGTCTAATAACAAACATGTATTGAGGAAAGAAAAAATATATTAACAAAAGAGAACCTTGTTACTGTAACCAAAACTGTTAGCTTACATTATATATTCTAGCCTTGGCTTCTGGTGTGAGAACCAGGTAAAAACTCTGTCCATAGGTGAAATCTACATCAAAAACAAGCAATATTTCATCCTCTGGGTAGTCCTGTCAAAAGAAAGTGAAAATCACAGCATTAATTTTTTATGAGAGTGTTAGAATACATCACAGTACAAACTACTTCTCCAGTAATTTGGTTGAGAGTGAATGTGAAAATCCCAAAAACCCTACAAACATCACAAAAAACGAAATGGCTGAAAGGAAAACTGGTGTCTCATTTGTAGATGACTAAAGTTGCAAAGTTCTGTCATAAATGCATAAAAGAATTTAGATCAGACAGAGAAAAAAATGAAGTTAAACTGGTTGCTTTGTCTTTTCCCACAGCTCTTAACTTGGGTCTGTGCATCATCACAGTGTCTGGCTGCTGTTGTCTGAGTAAACTATGCAACAATGCATAACCAGCGCCTAACCAGCACAAACTGCTTCACAGGGTGGAAATCGGACACTGCGGCTCTTGTCTTAATATCCTGTATGATGTCGTCCTTTTCCAGCAGCTTGTAAGGGCTCTGCTCTGTGACATCCTCATCAATGCAGCATTCAAAGAGCTCCTGGGTGGCTGTTGTCAGGACGATGGGGTAGATGTCATCAGGGTGATCTTCAGGAGCGTTCAGAAACAATTGAGAGAAGAAAAATAGGGAAGTTATCTGATAAAACGAGCTTTTGGGCTTCATTCCCTAAAAGCAAAGCTGATGACTGATGACGGCTCAAATAAATACTAATACTAATACTACTACTACCACAAATAATAATAAAAATAGTGAGAATAATGATAATAAATAATTCAGAACCAATTACTTATGTTTTAGAATATTGAATGAGACTGTATCAGATAATCAAACAATAATGATTTTGATATCAAAACAATGTAAACACTCAGATAAGCAAACTCTGGTATAAATGTTGGGATTTTACTGGCTTGTGGATACACACAACAGCTGCAAAGACCACTGACATGTATTTATTTAAATATGCTTGGAGTGGGCCTGGAGAATGTGTGCAGAATTGGTGCATTGCAGTGCATTGTCCATGGGGACAAGTCCTTGTGGTCACAGCAAACTATAAGGCACGCGTACATCCACGCAGAGCCTCGTGTTCACCTTCCAATGAAGAAATTTAACATCCCTCAGACCCAGCGAACGCCTCTCATCCTTTGCCTGCTTTGACTCTACAAATATCAGTCCTTATGAGAAGTCTGTGCACAATGTTTAAATGTTTCTAGGCGTACGTTTGTATCAGAATGTGTAAAAACCAATAGGGCATCCCTCAAGACATAAAGTGCAGTTACACACATTTATTCAGGACTGTTATAATACGAAGCCAAAGTACTTTACCATCGCCACAACAAAGCTTTTCCTAATAAACAATCCATTCAGACTCTACTATATCTAAGCCAAGCACAGTCCAGGGCATAGTACAGTAAACAAAGCTTTGTATAATGATAGTTTTCATTCTGCTTGTGGTCTCTCGCTTCAAAGTCTTTCCACAAGGTTGCTAAGGGGACACTGGGAATGCTCAAGTACAGCTTAAGTAACCACTTCCCAGCTGGGTGTGTCAACCTTTTCCACTCACACCACTTAGGCCTCACGCCAAATCATTGTAGTGGAAACTCACACCCTTCATTTCACAGAGTCATGTGTCAACCAAGGCATTTGTATTCATGGGAAATATTTGCTTGGGAGACATAAAGAGTGTGATGCGCAGCGTTCCACAGCCCTCAAGAATGCAATTAAATTATATTTGTTGGCTGCTTCAAAAAGCTATTTTTAATTTGTTAAGCTTCTTTTCTCTTGCATAATTTACCCAGGCATTTTTAAAAGCATACCACAAGATATTTATACCAAACCTCAGAGCATTGAAATTTTAGCACAGTTTGTTTTCCAGTCTGCTCCTATTAGTGAAGGATTTAAGCTTGAACAAAATACATTGATCAGCGTATCCTTAATGTCACACAATGTGCAGAAACCTGCATTTATATTTGAACTAGAAGGCCAATGTGTTGTTATTGTCACAAAGATTTTAAACTGGTTCCTAAAAAATTACCATTAGTTTTATGGCAAAGACAAGATTTTAGGCTGAGCCCAGGCTTGGCTTGGGCTCAACCTAATTAGGTCATGTTCAATTTTGTCACGTTCACAAATTGGACTTAAACTGCTGGAAGTATAAGATTAAAAGGAATAAATAAATGCAAAAAAACGGAGCAAATTTTGAAAGGAAAAATATTTTTTACTCACAATCACCTAATCTAAATTAAAACACTACTTATGCTGATGGCTACAAGCACTTGATCGAAAACAAGTTTTGGGGTTGGTATGTCTAAGAAAAAAACAAATCTAGGGACACAGAGCCAAGTAGAGAAGAGCTCCAGAGCAGCAGTCCCCGGGCCTCGGACCGTTAACTCGGTTTCACGTGTGTTATGAATAAATCTTCCTTTTTTCGGTAACGGTACTAGTTTTATTTTGTTGTATTTATCTGCGACACCTTAAAGGCCGGTCCGTGAAAATATTGTCGGGCATAAACCGGTCCGTGGCGCAAAAAAGGTTGGGGACCGCTGCACTAGAGGTTACACAGCAGTACACTTGAGAACATATCAGAACAATGCACATATGAAGGATATATAACTATTCACATTATAGGACTACTTCAAAATGCGACTGTTCTTTTGACTTGAGCATTGCTACTGGTAAACCTGAAACGGAATAATAAGGGTCTGATTAATATGCTGTGCTGAAAGTCAGCACATATGCAAGTAGGAGAGCCAAATGCTCAGGCTCTCTGAGTTCAAGAATAAAAATACAGTGGTGAAAAATGAACAAAGCCAGCTTTTTGTAAAAGTATAAACACAATAAGGAGTTCGAATTTAATTTTCTCTCTTCAAAAAAAAAAAAAAAATACAAATAATTTTTTTCTTACCAGGCTTTTCCATAGGTGAAGGTGTCAGATTCTCCTTGACTGAATAAGAAGTAACTGTTAGTTGTTAGGGTAAATCAAAAACAAAAGCAAGCCTGTTTAGATTGTTTTGACAATGTGGACTTACACTGTCGGGGCTATAAGCTGGAGACAGGTGGAATGGGTAACACAGGATATTTTAAAAAGGAACAACTCTGAGAACAATAATCTTTAACAAGGACATGGCACCATCACCTCATCGTAAAATGATGTGCTGATAGTATTTAACTGTATGCAGGTTTTCAGCTGTGGCATGGTGAATGTAAACCAAACACTGAGAATGGGGAATCACAGCTGAGCAGAAACCATCTGCAAGCACCAATGTCACTGTGCTGTCTAACATTACACTCAAGACCAAATTAAAACAATCCAAATAGCTTTTTTTTTCTGGGATTTTTTTTTCTCAGCTATTTGTGTTACAAAACAAATTAAAAGTAATTCAGTTCCCATGAGTTAAGAGTCCCTCAACATAAACTTAATGGCCAATTCAAAAGCATCAAGGATTATAGGATCACCCTGGCTCTGGGAAATCCGTTTACTATTTTATTTACATGTCATGAAAGAACATCTTTCATACAGAGACATATACAATAAAAGAAAACAAATGCATTTAAATTCAGAAATTAATACTCCAGGACTCACCTGTTTTTCTTGATGGACTTTTTTGCCTCTTGGGTGCCATCTTTGCTCTTTGAGCAGGTTTATAAAGGGAAGAGAGTAAGTTTACACATTTTTTTCAACCAAACACATTCTGTACACAATTTTCAATTTAATTTTCACCACTGTCACTGGCATTAGAACTCATCCGCTCAGGCGATCTTGATGTCATTATCAAAAGCTCTGGTGACATCTTGTGGCAGATAAGGGAACTGCACTGCTTACTTAAAAAAAGCTGGTGAACTCTGAGAATAAATGCTTATATTAATTTAAACAACTTACCCAAATAATACATGTTAAAGTTATTATTATGACAATAATAAGTTGTTGTTTAGTTGTCTTAATCAGAATTATAATACAGATTACAACCAGTGATAGAGGAAGTTTTATTATACACTTGTGTTATTGTATTGTGTTATATTTTGTGCATATCAATAAAATTTATTTAATTGGGCAACATGAAGTTACAGCAATTAGCACTGTTGCCCCACAGCAAGCAGGTCTTGGGTGCAAATCCATGACCTTTCTATGTGTAGTCTGTTGTTCTCCTTTGTTCTCCAGCTTTCTCCCACACTCCAAGGACATGCATGTTAGGTTAACTGGTTCTCTCTGTTAGGCCTGTAATAGACTGGTGACCTGGATGGATGTAGTCTAATCATCAAAAGTAGTAACAACATAATTTGCCCACTGGAAATAATGTTTAGTGATGCGAATATGCTCTGCCAAGAGGACGTTTTTACTGCTTTGTGTAATATTAGGAAACTTTATATATCCTCTAACAGCATCTAATTTAACAAGCTCAAATATTTTTCAATTGTTTTCAATACAGATTACTTTCTGAGTTCGCTTGTATTATTTGACAATGGTCAATTTAGGGTTTTATGCGTTTCCTAGTTAATGATAGTCTCATTTATTTCCTGAAATATGGATGGTATTTTAGTCAGTTTAATTTTAGTCCACTGTAGTACCAGTATCATATCCACATAGCTATCACTCAGTATAATCCAGAATATGTAAGTCTCGATTTAATATCATAAAGTATAACTCGTAACGTCCTGTTTTCTTTAAGGCTTACTTAGGCATTACAAATTAGAAGACATTAGCTATTACAGGCTAGTTACGTTAAGTTAGTCGTGTTGCTAGTTAATAGCTAAAGTCATCAAAAGAACATTGGATACGCAGCTTATTTTATGCTCGAAGGTGCAACTTTTCCCCTTTACAGAAGAATGAATCAATATTACCGTGATCTTACACCGCATAGGCTTGATACCTTCTTCTATCTTCTTGATATCTTCTTCGCACTCACTGTTTTTGCTCACCAGTGGGTTGGGAACCGCTGGGTTGCCAATGGTTACAAGAGAGAGGGCGGGAGAAAATTGACTGGCATTCGCACGAGCTAATCACATTCCAGCTCAACGAGGCTTCGCGAAGTGGTTAAAAGTTACCTGGGTATTTTACATAGTTAAAGGAGTTTACCGGAAAGACAAGTCTGGTGCTTTAGAAGTTCAGTCGAAGTCAGTGAGGTCACTCGCGATTGTCTAATCAAAGCAACAGTTTTAATTATGATTTTTAATTGAGAGGAATTTATTAATTTTGACGCCGAGTGCGCGTCGTTGGATCCGCAGCGTTGGGATGCAATTACAAGTTGATTAACCTGTTTCGGGATATCGGTAAGTATCTGTTAATGTACGTTATGTACTGTTTTCCCGGATCTACGGGGTATGAGTTCACTCCTTCACGAGGAGTAATGAATAGCTGACATGTTCCCGCAATGCTGGAAGGCGACCGTGACTGTAAACCTGAGCTGTCTGTATTATTCAGCAGTACAAGTAAGCTAGAAGTCACTGCCTTCCTTTCTTCCTTCCTTCCCAGTCAGCTGTTAGCTAGTCATTAATCACGTGAAAGCTAGAGCTATGCATTCAGCTTGTGGCAAGTATGTTGGTTTGTTCTTCATTCTTAAGGATCAACAAAACAAAAATCAAGACTAGTATTTATTTCCCAGCCTGTGTTTTAATTCTTTTAAGTTTTCATGAATAGCACTAGGCTGGACAAAAATGTTACAATCTGCATTTAATCCCGTATAGCACATTAAAAATATTCATCATGTATCTGAAGTATAAAATGAACTCTAAACTATACACAAACACACTCATACAGGAGCTTGCATGCATATCACCCAGATGTCAATAATTCTAGATATGGAGGAGTCCGGTGACTTGTATGACGTGCGTGAGACCAATGACCCCTCTTCTTGGGAGGACCAGCACCCCCAGTGTCTGCAAGACGTGGCAAAAGTGGAGCGCCTCAGGAGGAAGATCAAGTATTACTTCATGAACCCCTGTGAGAAATACCACGCTCGTGGACGTAAACCATGGAAACTCATACTGCAGATCATCAAAATCGCCATTATTACCATCCAGGTACACGGTATTCTCAAACATGATCCAAACAATTATGATCAGTTCATTTTATTGTGATCTACTGTCCTTATAAGACTTATAATTTATAAGATTTATATTATAATTTTTCCCTACTGCAGCTGGTTTTGTTTGGGCTAAGCAACCAGATGGTTGTCACTTTCAAGGATGAAAATCTGATGACGTTCAAGCACCTCTTCTTGAAAGACTATGTGGACGGAGGCATAGCTCCGTATGCTCTTTACAGACAGGCGGATGTTTATGATCACATTGAGTACGTCATTCAACAGGTGACTAAAACTTATCTATAAATAAGAAAATAAACTAAGAAGCTGTGAAATGGGTTTACTTTGGTTGTTTGAAAACACAGCTTTACATGTGCCTTAGTTATTGTTAATTATTGCTGGAATTTTACAATTCTGTATCCTCGTATGTCCAAGCGTCTTACAGGCTAAGCGTGTCATGGGATTGGACTTTGGTCATGTCGCATGAACCAGTATTTTAGTTGTGTTGATTATGGCTCATATAGTAAATGTTTTTTTAAATAACATGGCGGTTACATAAACCTCCTGTGGTAAAATGTTAGCAAAATGTCAACTACCTTTTTCTACTGTTCATTTTCAGTATCGGCTTCTGCACAACATCACATTAAGCAATCATGAATATGAGGAAAAGCACAGTGTCTACACCCCACTGTTACTGTGTCAGGAGTTCTACAGGAACGGGACCATCTACCCTTCAAATGAGACCTTTGAAATTGATGCTCATGTGGACACTGGTAAGCATGATTAATATTTACAGGAAAGACTCATAACAGTATTGCTAAAATACACTGATTTACACATAAGCCAACTGAAAGATTGGACACTGTGACTCAAACAAGGACTCAAAGATTTTTGCAATTTGTAATAATATAAAATTATATCTATTTATATATCTAATTATCTAAAGTGTAGAAAAAATAAGGTGCTGAAACTACGAAGAATGATGTTGACACTGTTAGCAAAAATGATCAACTTTGCACAACAGTGCCTTCATTTTAACCTAACCAGCTTCATGAAGTAGTCACGTGGTGATGTTTGGGTTTGCCTTATAGAAAACTAACTAACTAAAGCCTCTTCCAGAGTAAATATATAAACTGACACATATTGACAGCTAAGATAAACAGTGGACTAAACGACTACACTCACTACAGAGGAATGGCAGCCAGAGTCACTTATCCTACAGCTGCCACTGTAGCATGGATTATGCACTGGAATTGGAAGTAGTAAGAACACAGAATTCAGTTGACTGTAATCTGCAGTCTACTGACATCTAGTGGTGTGATTTTACACACTGCACCTTTAAAGTAATCTCATCATTTAACAGCACCTCAGATTAGTTGATGAAGCCTGCACAAATTGCAAATTGCTCCAAAGAAACCTCTGAGAAAGACTAATAACAGGAGAAGTTATCTGTCCAAGAAGCACAGTAAATGGGCATTAGGTCAGGTAAAATGTATGGAGGATAATTTATCAAGGAGCTGCTGGTGGCTTATTTTATTTTCAAGGTAACACTTTGACTACCTCAGCCTCCTGAAGTATTTCCCCAGTACAGTGTATAGTGGAAACATCAGTTGTTTTCAGTCAGCAAAAGCATGCCTCCAGGCTCTGTAATGAGTGTTTGACCGATTGGCGCCATGATTGAGGGCTGCATCAATACCTTTGGCCTTCACTGAAATCCAAACCTAACTGATGTTTGGGATTGGAATGAGTTGGACCGTGAAGTGAAGGAAAGGCAGCCAACAAGTGCTCAGCACTTTTGGTAACTCCTTCAGCACCGCTGGAAAAGCTCCAGGACACAAAGTCATGAAGGTGGTTTTGAGAAATAAACAGTGGAAGCTTTGAACAGCATAAAAAGGAAAACATATTTGACTTTGTTTAATTTATAGACAATGGAATCAGATATAAAAATAAAAAAATCCAATTAGGTCTAATGGGTTTATTTTGTTAATTTCTGTCTGTGTTGTGGCCTGTCTCTACTAGAGTGCCTCAGAGTTTATCCCCAGCCAGTACACGAAGCGCTTCCACATTTTAAATTGGATTTCATAAGGTACGGAAAAAACATTCGATGTTTTCTTTGACTTTGTTCCCTCGCTGTTGTTGCTGTATATGCATTTAAATCCTCCTGTCAGCTCATGTGCCTGCTCTGTCTTCCAGGTTAATATCTGTCAAGATTACATTTGTTCTCAAGGCAATAAATTTGCAGACAGTGAGACATCGAGAGCTGCCAGATTGCTACGACTTCACTCTTATCGTATGTCATTTGACTTGTCTTCGTGGCTCCGTGAGCATGAGTGGATCACGTCAGACTGTGACTCTTACTAGCAGTTATACGATGTATCTGATGTGTTGTATCACTAACGCTAACCCTTCACCGTGACAGTTACTACTTGTGACTCTGTACCTAAACAAAGTATAGAGAGTCTTTATTTCTGAAGTTCATTCGAGTAAACAAATTAGAGCAGTTTAGTTACACAGCAGTTGCTGTTTATATAATGAATGTTATCTTTGAGGCGAGGCAGATAAATGCTTGGCTATCAAGTGTGGCTTTAAGACTGGAGTGCTTACTCTTTCCTCTTCTCCAAATACGACTGTTTGGTTAACAGATCACTTTCAACAACCAAGCTCACAGTGGCCAGATAAAGGTTGATTTGGAAAACGAAGTAGACATCAATGAATGCAGGCAATGGAAAGTAACTGGAGCATGTAAGTTAGATGAGCAGATTCTAGTTTGTACAAATCATCTGGTTGGAGATTTTCTTTTTTTAATTTTGATGAAAATTTTGAATTCCTGTCCTCTTGCAGATGGTAGAAGCATATACCTGACCGTGCTGTTTGACTGCTTCATCATTATAATGTGCATCATCTCCTTCGCCCTGTGCACGCGCTCGGTGATCACTGGGATTCAGCTGCAGCTCGTGAGTAAAACAAAGCGGTTTCTTTTGCTCAGACCTAAAACAGGCTGTGATTGTCTGATACATTTTTGTGTACACAAGTGCAAGAGAACGCTCACAGCTGATTCTACATCTGACTAGGCTCGGCAACATGTTTTTGGCATCATTGGAAAAAAAAGATATCGTAATTCAAGTGAAGGGATCTAGTGAGGTGAAGTGGGAGTAATATTGGCCAATCAGAGAGCAGATTAGGGTCCTGAAAGTCTATAGAGGAAGTTGGATGTGGCAGCTTAAGCAGTTGGGTGGGTTAAGCAGAGGACTTGTGTCTGGGTGAGTGGGATTTTAATCCTTGCTGAAGTCAAATCAGACTTATCTTAGCCCATACAAAGTATTTGCTTCTGCCTGAGCTCAGCTGGTAGGAGGGGCTTAGGACAGAGAGGGGACAACTGCAGGGTTTTTTTTTTTCAGCCTAGTGCAGCTTTTACTAAAAAAACGATTATTCTGTAGTTTAACGGCAGATAAGAGCGTGCCGTTCTCAGCTTTTACTTTGGGTTAGATGAGTAACACTTGTCTATACTTAAAAAGTATTTCTTTTTAGTTTTTGTTTATATAGCTTTATGAGTATTGTGGCAGGAAAATGAGTATCTAGCTAGTAGCTAGCTGTATTCTGCAACCTCTCCACCCTCCAGTGAGCAGACACAGAAAGACGGAGACAAGGAGAGCAGTGGAAAGAAAGCTCCAGAACAGAGCAGAGCAGTCATCAGGGAAAATGGATACGACATTAAGTCAGATGCAAGATGAAAAGGGGGGAGGTAGGATATAAGAGGTGGGTGCAAAGCAGGTTGCACATGCACAGGGGCTGTGTACAGGTTAAAGCAGAATTTACAGTCCCCGCAAATGTGTCTGTCTGCATGCACATTTCTGTTCAGACATGGAGCAGAGAGGGGTTTTCACCCATCGTGCATGCACTCTGCCAAAATCCCACCTGTGCTTTAAGCAGATGG